CTTGTAGTCAGGCTCCCATATTGTTTGGTACAACTATTAGCCATTTTTCCTTCTCTGGTGTTTATTCCACAGGCTGTTCTTGGGAATGAGAGCCAGTTTGGTGTAGTGGTTAAGGCATCAGGCTAGAAACAGGGAGACTGAGTTCTAGTCCCGTCTAGGCACAAAGCCAGCTGGGTGACCTTGGGCCAGTCACTTTCTCTCAGCCCTAGGAAGGAGGAAATGGCAAACCACTTCTGAAAAACCTTGCCAAGAAAACTGTCTTGGCAAATAATTCTTAGGTTTCCTAAATGAGACAATTGTTTTAGTTCATCTAAAGTGCAACATAGCTAGTAGATTTTCCTGTTGGGTAAAGTACTATGTTCTTACTTTTTTAAATTTGATCATTGCAGCATGTATCCTGAAAAGGAATTGTTGAATTTTCCTTGGCAGCTTTATACTTCCTGAGTTTTATAATACTTTGAAAACCTTTGCTGCTATAGCCATTTTTGTTTTAACGTAGTTTTGTTTTATTCAATGAATTTTAAATTTTGTGTTTGCATGACAGTAATATGCACATTTTTAAGTAGCAAAACTATGTAAGAAGCTCCCTTCTATATAGTTTCTTAAAACTAAGATGGTAAGGAAAATTAACTATTCTAGAAATAGCTTGGAATGTGTTATATCTAGTGTGTCCCCTGTTCAAAAAAAAACACCAAAAATATATGACTGTCAGATATGTTGAAAAAGCATATTCTATCCTTTGATTATTTAATATAGAGAGGTCCTGATAAGCCATATAACAGACCATGCTCACAAGCAATCTTCTGTCAGGATACTTTCTCTTGCTAAAAAACAGACCTCAGAGTGTTATGGTAGAGTTGTCTTGATTCCAGCTTGATTGCTAGGCTGCTTTTCTCTCTTTTGTTTGGCGTACTTCTGTGTTCTGAGTTGCTTGTCAATGGAAAAATTACGTCTTACTGTCTGCAGCTTACTGTCATGAAGTATGTTTTATCTGTTCCTTACCGTCAGGGTGGATTTACACACTGTAGTAAGCCATATTATGATTTGCTTGGTTTTGGCTTAGCATATTATAGGAATTTGTTATATTTTGTAATCTAAAGTATATCGCTCAGTCATTTGTAGTTCAATAAACCATGGTTATACAAACCATGGCAGTGCAGTATTTAAACCCAATCTGTATTTTTAAAGAGACTTTTGATTTTGATATTCTATTGTGTAATATGCTCAACTGCTGTTTTGTAAGAAGAGAAAGTAGTAATACCTTTTCCTTCTGGTGACAAGATACACAAAATACTGTAATAATATATGTACTGATAGATGTTTGCTCCAAAGTAGCTTCACTTGAATTTACATCTCTGTGTGTATAGAATCGCAACATTTGAATTAGCACAGCATTTTACCAAGTTGGAATTTGCATTAAAGATTCTAACTTGCTCCCTGTTTCAGATTGCAATTTTAGACATTAGCCTAGCCTTGCTGAATACAGCTGTAATAATACAAGCAGATTGCAGCTTAATGTTGCAAATATCTGCCTGCAAAAAACTTAAATTGCATTGAATCTGACTTTCGAATAGGTGTACATAAAGCGGTGCTATAAGATAATTAAGCATATGAGCATCATGGAATGTCAACAAGTATAAACTTTATTAACATAATTATGAAGCTCCTCAAGCCTTACCAGTGTCTATACCAGGAGACAATTGAGGATCGGTCTGTCACACATAACTACCTTAAAAGGTAATAACATTCTACATAACCTTTGAAAATAAGGGTGAAGGTGGAAGTTTTCTTCCAATGCTGTTGTGCCAGTGGTCTAGTCTGTAGCAGATAGATTGATGTTATTTCTTTAAAACTCATTCTGTTTGAATGTTCCCTGACTATGTCTGCCATCTTAAGTGGGAGAGGTAACTGGGATGCATTTCATGTGTGTCCAATATAGAACAGTGCTACATGAGAGAGCCAGTGTGCTGTAGTGGTTAAGGTGTTGGTTTGTCACTGGGGAGACCCTGGTTCTAGTCTAGTCTGAGCCATGGAAGCTCACTGGATGATTTTGGGCTAGTCACTCTCTCAGTCCAACCTGCCTCAGAGGATTGTTATTGCAGGGAAAAATGGGAAGAAGAAGAGTTACATACGTTACCTTGAAGTCCTGAAGGCAAAGTGGGATATAAGCATAACCAACAAATGGATAATTATAAAGATGGATCTTCATAGGAAAAAGAAGAGGCAGAATCCTTTGTGCATTCTGCTTGGAGCTCTGCTATTTCTAGTATTTTTAATTAAAGTTTTGTGATTAAAAAATCCCAATAATTAGCAAGTAAGAATATATGAGATATGTGTTCTTTGTAACAATTGTGGTCCTGATTAAACTTAGTTGGTAGATTGTTGAACTTCCAGCAATGATATTTTAAAAAATAATTTAAATCTGTTTCACTTGCATTTAATACAATTTTGCAGTATTTCATATCTTACATGAAATAGCCTTTAACAAAATAATCTACTTTAGAAACTGGAACAACTCAATCAGTATCCAGACTTCAACAACTACCTGATATTTGTTCTTACAAAGCTAAAAACTGAAGGTGAGTCTTATACTACTTGTATTAAGTAATTACAGAGCTAAATAAATTAGGCCAGAATTTCAAAGGTTTCTGGATACTTTACTCACCAAGACTTCATAGATTGTTTAGGCTAGATTCCACTAAAATATTTCTTCCTTATTTTGTGTACAAGAACAATTGCTCAGAAATATATGGAATTTCTTTTCAAGTAAATCTGTTTGGAATAATACAATGAATGTATTGGGCAGCATCAAGAAAAATTCTAATAATACTTTTGTTATAATATTAAAATTGTGCTAGCAAACCCTTGCATATTTTGACATACTATAGTAGCATACTGACTACAGTATCTTTAAAATGGTATGCCAAAGCATTCTATCTTTCTGGTATCTTTTTGTGCATAAGTCATCACTGTTAGTTGATTAATTTATGCCTATTTTTCATTGTTTAGTTCACTGTAATTTAACGCTGAATAGGGTGCATTATGTTCTACTTTCTTAAAAAATTAATCTTTTATGCATATTCCTGTTCAGCATATAGTATATTTTTCCTAAGGTGTTCTAAAGCCCTAGATATGATCCAAAACCATATTGTCCTGTTATGCATATTATACAAGAAAGTGGATTTTAATGGGATGTGGTTTTGGATGATGAAGATGATGATGATGATGATGATGATGATGGAATTGTTTATATAATTGCAGCCTGAATCTGTCCAGATCTTGAACATTTTCCAAAATAAGTCTATTTTGCTTAGGCTGTCCAAAATACAATTAGAAGAATTTTTTGTTGAGATTAAGCTGAATAATTTATTTGGGGGGGAAATCTATTTTTTTCTTAATAAAAAGTATAATTCAAATTGCAAAGTGTGTCATGGTTTATGTTCTCCTTAAAAATGCTTCATTTCTATTCTTAAAACAACTTCCTCTTTCAGATGGACTTTATTACAATAAAACACCAGTTTCCCTCACTTTTTGTATTATTGAAGACAGCATTCATTTACTGTTCTGTACACTATGATAGGCTAACAAATTAAGATATCATTAGGCTTTAGGATAAATTTGCAGATCAAGGGAAGATCCAAACTAATATTCTGTAAGGGAATGGCTATACATTATTAACAAATGTATTTAATTTATTAGATATATAACAAACCTTTCATATACATTAAATTGGATTAAATGTATATTAAATTACATTAAATTAAACTTACCTGCTGCCATTCATATCACTTGGTAATGCCATTATGCGAATGATGTCATTTGCGTCAGTTTACATAATTTGTATAATGAATCTGAAGTCATTTACATAATGATGTCATTATCCAAATGAAGTAAATCAGTCAAAAAACAGTTCATTCCATTTGAAGATGGTGCATCAAGATCTGATAAATTGAAATTTCATTGTACTTTAAAAAATTTAGTGTAATATTGTACACAGTGTCTTGATTTTGAAACTGTTGGAGTGTGAAACAGCTATTCTGGCTACTGGAAGAGTATTGATGCTATTGCAACCATTCTAGAAACATCTGGAACTTCAGCTGCATCTGGAAAGGTTGAAATACAGTAGTGTTGAACATTTCTGGCAAGAGTGGAACAATTCCTTTCAAGCTTGAAATGTTTTTACATCTCAAATTCTAAATAGTGCATTGTTTTTTAGGTGATACTATAGTAAAAGGATATCCATTCTTTAGTGAAAACTGCAACAGAAAAACTGGATGTATGTGCTTGGTAGCGTGGGTGCTGTCACAGAATATCTTGATATATCAGAAGGTGCATTGCAAGACCACAGTGTTTTGTTTTATTTAAAGAAATATTTTCTAACTTGCTTTTATTGATAAAATAATCTCAGAGGTCACAAGTTAAACTTCCTGCTAGGTCCTCCATTAACACTGCCTTGGGAGATACTGGCAAGCTATAATATGTCAATGGAGTCATACAATTTAATATTGTACTGTAATATTAAATAGTGCAAGTCTGCATTATTTCATAATGATTTCATGATTTCAGTTGGGCTTGCTCCCAAGTAGATATATGGAAGATTATAGCCTAAATGACTTTCTTTAAAACTTATTACAGATGAACCAACAAGATCACTGAGTGGTCTCATTTTGAAGAATAATGTCAAAGCTCACTTTCACAACTTTCCTAATGGAGTAACTGACTTCATTAAAACTGAGTGCTTAAACAATATTGGTGATTCCTCTCCACTAATCAGAGCCACTGTGGGTGAGTCATGAATATTTATTTATATTCTGTTTCTTTATGCTGAATACCTTGTAAATAAGTATTACATTTTTTGAGTGTGCTATTCTAAAATGCTAGGTCTTTTTCTTTTCTTCAAAAATAATTGTTTTGGTAATTGATTGGTTCAGATATATGAATATTAGGTTGCTATGAGTATATCAGTTGATACATTTCATCATACTTTTATTTAATATATATTTCCAATAAATTTATTTTAAGTCTTCTGCTTTTAATTTGTTTCATGATAAAAATGCGGATGATTATTTTAGCTCCTTTAGATGTAGGATAATATGATAATATGAATTCCCTAATGCCTATTAGCAGAAAGAATATCTACTTTTAATCTTAAAATATCTTCAGTCTAAAAAAGTTGACTTATTTCTTTGGCTTTACTTGACACATGATCATTGTTCTTCTTGAAGGGCATATGATCTGAACATAGAAGGGTCTTGAAAGGAACATGGTCAAAACATAGGAAAGGACTTATTACAAACATATATTCAAAGCCCAGCTTTAATGTAGTCACCTTAGGATTCTTCTGGTGGTTTTAATGCAAAATCCTTTTTTTTTTCTTTGTAATATTTCAAATTGGTATATTTCTGGATACCTTAGCTCAGGGGTAGGGAACCAGGAGTCCTCCAGATGTTCCTAAGTTCTGGTCACAGCTAGCATCATTGATAATAAGGAAGTTTTAGTTCAGTAATACCTGGAAGCCTTATGTTCTCTGCTCTTGCCTTAAATGTTTCCAGTTAAGATGGTGGAGAGAGTGGAAGCTATGGAGCCGCTGTCCTTGTGATTTTATGTATGTGGTATGCTGTGTCTGGGTGGAGGGACTTTGAAGCTGGACTGCTTGGGGCAATTTGGACTGTTTTGGCTGGAGGACTGTGTTGGAGGATGGCGGTGCTTGCTGTCTTGTGGCGCTGGCCATGCCTACTGCCCTGACTGCATTTGCTGCTCTGGCCGCGTTTGCCGCATTTGCGAACTTGGCGGCTTTTTTGAATTTGGTGGCAGCATTTTGGACTGTCTTGGCATATTCTGGTCTGGCTTGGCTGTTTTTGCTGCTGGAAGGACCTGTTTGGGCTGCTCTGGAGGACCGCTTGGGCTGTTTCTATCTGTTTGCCTGCCATAGTAATCGTGTTTCATAGCTCAGCAGTGTTGGGGAGAGAGCCCTCTTTCTTTTTATTTTATTAAAGTTTACAGATACAAAGATAAAAGACTAATACAAGCTAAGAAAAATATAAAAAGAAAAGTGCAAAGAGAAAGAAAAAAACAAAATAAGGAAAAAATTTTAAAAGTTATATGAAGAAATGGCTCCCCCTCCCTCTAGACAAGTATGAACAACTCTAGTAACTTAACTCCTTTTCTGGTATTACAATAAAAAAAAAATCTCTTCCCATATCTCATTTCTTACCAATAAACAAATTGTAAAAACTCATCATTCAGTCCTAATCGGCAAAAGTCCATTAAGAGCTATCAGAAATAATAACATATATAGATTAACCTTAATCAAATGAATTCATTTTGTATTCTAACTTAACACTTTCTCTGAGAAATAAAGCAAAAGAAATCTCTCCCCGTTTATAAACAAATCTTTAAAGCCTTGTTATTCAGTCTTGGTTAAAAAAAAAATCCATTAATAGTTATCAGAAACCACAACATATATATTTTAACCCTGGTCAAATAAGTCCACTTTGTATTCCTTTTGTTTACTTTTAAAAAGCGTAATCTTTAATCCTGTCAAAAAATGTCCCACAAATTGATTTCTTATCACTTTTTGTATCCTCTCAGGAACAGCTTAACAGTTTAAGACATTCCTTTTGTAAATCTAAGATAAGGCTATCCAAGTTACTCTTCTGATTTATTATTTGTATGTCCCCTTTAGTTATTAAGACATCAGCCAGTTTCATTTGTAAATCCATTGTGGCATCTTTTTCCATATCACTCTTATAGT